GAGGGGGTTTATGTCAGTGCCTCAGGAGTGGAGTGGCATGGGGGCTTTTTTGGGAGCAGCCGTGTCCCAAACACCCCCCCTCTGCACCTGGAGCACCTGGAGATGTTTCACAAGTCTATCAATAAACCTTTGTGAAGCCTGGTGGGCTGGGGCTGTGCTTGCTGCAGTCAGGGGGTCCCCTCCATGCCTGGTCCTGGCTGTGTGGTTATTTAGAGTTTTACGCTGGGCAGATGCAATCCTGGGATGAAGGATGCTGGAGGGGAGCAAAGGGTTGCCCAGCATTGCTGCTTGCCATGGTTTTGTATCACCAGCTCCCCCTTGCACACAGGAGCGGCTCAGGAGAAGCATCTGGAGACTTGCGGACAAGCAAGAGAAGGAAAATCCCTGCCATCCCACATTAGGGCCCGTTTCCCCTCCCCTGAGCAACAGGCACACCGCAGCTTCGCCAGTATTGCAGTGCAACAGCTGCGTGGTGCCTGGTCGTGCAGGAACTGGTATTACATGCGCTGAGCTGGCCAGGCAGCTGCTGGAGCTGGGCTGCTGGCGGGCTGCCCTGTGCCGTGGGCTGCTGTAGCCCCTCCATGGTGTAAACTCCACCAATCCTCTGGAATCCACTTAGGGCAAAACCTGGCTGAGAACATCTCTGCTCTCCTGCAGGCTGGCATGTGAGGGGCAGGCATGGGAGAGACGTCTCTCACGTCGGGGGAGTTGTCTCTGGAGAGAGAGTTTTGGCCCTGCGAGGTGTTTTATTGCTGTGAAGTTGTTCCTGCTGCAGTCAACAGCTCCAGGAGGTGGATCTCTGGGGGGCTGTGGCACAGATACCGCTCCCTCCACCTGGAGAGTGCGACGGTGTTTGCACAGCGCCGGGGTGTGGATCTGGGGAGGAAACAGACCCAGAGGAAAGGCTCCCAGATCCAAACATCTGCATCATGTTGAGGAGCCCCGTGCTGCAGGTTGGAGCACAACATTGGTCCAGGAACTTGGGAGGATGCTGGAGCCGAGCACTGGTTGCTGGGGACTCCTCCCTGGTCACGTGCTGAGCAGCAGGGTGCTGGGCTCAGTTGCTATCTGAGCAAAATACAGAGGTGTTATTCTCATGGGAAGGTTTGCTTTTGGATTTGGGTTTGGGGCTGGACAATTCTTACCCATTTGCCCTCACTGCATCTCTCCAGTCTCCTGGGCAAAGCAGATCCAGGACATGCACTGGTTCTGCTGAGGTTCTCCACCGATGGTTGGATGGATGGTTGGTTGGATGGATGGTTGGATGGATGGATGGATGGATGGATGGATGGATGGATGGATGGATGGATGGATGGATGGATGGATGGATGGATGGATGGATGGATGGATGGATGGGGCTGGAGTGGCATGCTGGCACCATGCGCTTCCGTTTTTGTTTCCGAGTCCAAGCATAGGGAGACGGCGAGTTGGTGGCTGGAGCTGCCTCATCTGGTTCCAATTTAAGGGAGAAATGGGCTTGATGGAGCTCGGCCATGTGGCTCCCATTATGGAAAGGCTTCACACAAAGAGAATACAGCCTTTGGGTATCTCACCCGGGTTAGCTGGCAGAGGTGAGGGGTGGTCTGGGGAGTGCCTGCATAGTGTCATCCTCATTTCTTGGTGAGCTTTACTGGTTTTGGTGTAAAAAGTCAAAAGGCAAATAAGAGCAACTCTAAATGTTTATTCCTCCCACCCCTCAAGCTTTGCCATTTTTTGTTGATGTCCCATCAGTTTTGGTGGCCTGTCTCATAATTTATGGCCTCCTAGGGGTGGTGCACCCCATCAGCCTTCAACAACCACTGAACCAGCCCCTGCGTGTTCCCCAGGATCTTCTGGTCCCTGGCTTCCCTGCACTGCTCCCAGGGACAGAGGAGTCCTGGACAGGCCATTTCACAGTGAGTGAGCTCCATAGCTCCGTGGCTTTGTGCTACTGGCCCAGGAGGGACTTTGCCCCAAAGGTTTTGGAGTCAGTACTGGGGAGTCATGGAAAACTTGCATGGTAAAACCAAAGGTGGTTCTTTGTGTCTTTTACTTCTATCCACTGCCTTCCCCCTGGGCTACAGAAGATCCCATCTGGGCATCCATTTGTTATTGTGTTTTATTTATTTTGTTGTTGCACACCAGTTTATAGGTGAGACATCAGTTATTTAGCAAAATCACTTGCAGTGATCCTTGATGCATCTGTTTTTCCCTGCTTTTTACCATCTGCTCTCCAGGAGTTGAAGCCTGTTCCTCCATAGATCAGAGCAAAGGATTATTTGAAATAATTCGGCAACACTGAGCTCATCTTACTTACCCTGTTGGTTCCCACCAAAAGCTGCTCTATCGCTCCCTTCCTTGGCTGAACAGGAGAGAGAAAATATAACAAAAGGCTTATGGGTCAAGATAAGAACAGGGAGAGATCACTCAGCAATTACTGTCATGGGCAAAACATACTCGACTTGGGGAAATTAGTTTATTACCAATCAAATCAGAGTAGAATAATGAGAAATAAACTCAAATCTTAAAACACCTTCACCCCAGCCCTCCCTCCTTCCCAGGCTCAGCTTTGCTCCCTATTTCTCTCCCTCCTCCCCCCAGCAGTGCAGGAGGAAGGGGATGGGGGCTGTGGGCCGTCCATCACCCCTTGTTTCTGCCGCTCCTTCCTCCTCATGGGCAGGACTCCTCACACTCCTCCCCTGCCCCAGCGTGGGCTCCCTCCCACGGCAGACAGTCCTCCATGAACTTCTCCCACGTGAGTCCTTCCCACGGGCTGCAGCTCTTCCCCAGCTGCCCCAGCGTGGGTCCCTGCGGTGGGCTGCAGCCCTCCCAGCACCAGACTGCCCCGGCGTGGGTCCCCCGTGGGGTCACAAGTCCTGCCAGCGAACCTGCTCCAGCGTGGGCTCCTCTCTCCACGGGGCCGCAGGTCCTGCCAGGACCCTGCTCCAGCACCAGCTTCCCACGGGGTCACAGCATCCTTCAGACTCTGCTCCAGCAAAGTGGGGTCCTCCCTGGGCTGCAGGTGTCCCCTGCCCCACCGGTGACCTCCCTGGGTGCAGGGCACAGCCTGCCCGCTCACCACGGGCTGCAGGGGGGTTTCTGCTCTGTTGCACCTTCCTGGCTTCTCCTTCACTGACCTGGCTGTCTGCAGAGTTGTTGCTCTCACATATTCTCACTCCTCTCTCTAGCTGCAGTTGCACAGGTTTTTTTCCCCCTTCTGAACTGTTATCCCAGAGGTGCTGCCACCATCGCTGATGGGCTCAGCCTTGGCCAGCAGTGGCTCTGTCAGACATGGAGGAAGCTTCCAGCAGCTTCTCACAGAAGACACCCTTGTATCCCTCCCCTGCTACCAAAACCTTGCCACACAAACCCAATACAATTTCCAAGGAGGGAAAACAAGCTCTTGCCTTGCAGAGACATATGCCCCTCACTCTTGGCTACTGCCTGCCTTCATCCCATCTTTCCTGGTCCCTCTTCTCTCCAGGCTGTTTCCCTAGCACCATGGCCATTGCTGGGCTTCTCAGCATTTGCAGGGTTAATCAGCGCTGACTCCCACATTCATTGCACATCACTCAGCCTCCTGCTGCAGCGGGGCTTGGCCTCTGTGGCTCAGCAAGGGGCTACGCGATGCCCAATTCCCTGTGGATTAATTCTGGTGGATAAAAGACTTCTTCAGTGAGCGGGCTGGTGACCGTGTATTTGAAACTCCAGGACGGTGAATTATCTTTGGGGCAAAGACTGAATCTTCCCGGTGATTTGGAAAGTGTGCAGCGTGTTGGGGACTGGCAGGATATAACCAGTGGCTGTGGTGACAGGGGAGAGCACTGCTGTCACTGGAGATAAAGGAATAGACCCAGGCAGAAAAAACTCAGCAGCACTTTCAGGAGAGACAGACACTTAAAAGCCCAACTCCCCTTGACCTTCCGGAGAGATCTATGTCCCCAGGGATGTGCTCACACTCACTGTGGGCGTATGACACAAGTGGTACCTCTGGAGCACTCCGGTGACTTGTAGGCAGGGTTTGGGCAGCAGGCATCTCCTTGGCTGGGGCACCACAGCAGCAATCAACTCGCAGCCCCTGAGAAGTGTCCTCCCACCTCCCAGCCCTGAGCATCCCGCTGCAGCCAAGGGCTGCTGGGTTTCCTCTCCCTTGCTAGCTGATGAGCTCCAGGAAAAGAGATGTGGGAACAAAATTCGAGTTAAATCCCAAATTTCTATGTCATGGGACCTTTTGACTTTTAAAAACTCCTTTTTGTTCCAATCTGGAATGAAAACAAAGAAACTGGAAGCTGTTGTCAAGAGGTAAAATGCTCTAATAGGTGAAGGGGACCCTTCAACCCCTTTATTTTAATTTAAGCAGTAACCTGGCTTGTTACATCTTGAAACATCTGATGCTATCTTGCAGATCAAAGCCTCCTTGTTTGGGATGTAATGAAGTGTCAAACTGTTTCCTTGCAACACAAACAGGAGACACTTTGATCTGCAAAACAAGATGTTTAAGAGCCCTACTAGCAAGGGCTCTTCAAGTTTTACCAGCACTGTAAAGCAGTGAATTATTTGAAGTCTGATATTGTTTCATACTGAGACTTTCCAAGTTACGGCAGCTGATAGTGTGCGTTACTGTCACGCTTGTGCCAGGAATCACATGAAAATCATCTAAAACAGAACAACAGGGAGCTGGAGAACCAAACTGATAATTTTTCTAAGTTTCCAAAAGCAGTTGTTGTTTTTTCGCCCCCATTTCCAGAGGGCTTGTTTCCGTGGGAAATGTTATCAGAGTCAATGTGAGCTCTCCAAAAAATGTCAGCAGCGGCAAATTGTTTTGGGGAAAAAACGCCACGATTCTGGGTGGTTCAGCTAGAGAGCACTTCCTGCACTCCTGCAGCCTTGGTCTTGGTTTTCCCTGGCCCGTTGAACCTGCACATTGTCGCACGAGGACTCTCTGGGGCTGTCTGTGCAGGCACTGGTCTTGATTTGGTCGGGCTGGAGCTGCTCACACGTCTCTCCCCGCTCGGCTGCAGGCTCAGCGCTGGCGCAACGAGAACTACGAGAGGCCTGTGGACTTGGAGGGCTCTGGGGACGATGACCCCTTTGGGGATGATGAACTGGACGATGTCTACTCGGGCTCTGGCTCGGGGTGTAAGTAGCTGCGGGGTTCCTCGGGAAGGGTCCCTGGGGAGCCTGGCCATGGGCTCTGGTGGGACTGGAGAGGGGCTTGCCAGGGGGTGTGAGGGAGGGGATCACGCTTTATCCATCTCCAGAGCTGCCTCCTGCCCTCTCCTAGACAAAAGCAAAAGAAACTGTCCCAAATTTGGACTCAAGTGTCTCTATTTGCCATTTCAGTCGCTAGCTCCACTGGGCAGGATTAGCCCTTCCCCAGTGCAATGGCACATGCCATGTTATAGAGCTTTCATTGACCCCAGAGAGGGGCTTTGGCCACCACACAGGAATTTGCAGCTCTTGGGTTCTTCTGAGCCTGGAACCAGTCCATGCTCTCATTTTTTGGGGGTGAGGCCAGGTGCGTGCCAGCCCTGGGAAGTGCTGGGGCAGCAGAAGCTTCACCCTTCACTCTTCTCCTCCTCTTTCAGATTTTGAGCAGGAGTCGGGGCTCGAGACGGCGGTGAGCCTCACCACAGACACGTCCATCACGCTCGCCACCACGGCAGCCGTGCTGCCCGTCACCTCAGTGCAGCCTGTGGCAACCCCCTTTGAACCATTCCCCGCTGAGGACACCACCCCTGGGCAGACAACCAGCATCTTGTATATCCCCAGGATGACAGAGGCACCAGTGATCCCCAGTTGGAAAGCAACCACCGCCAGTACCACTGCCAGTGACTCCCCTACCACCACCACCACCACCACCACCACCACGGCCGCCGCCACCACCACCACCACCACTGCAGCCACAACTACCACCAGCACCACCATGGCCACTGCCAAGCCCACCACCATCCGGAGGTTCCTGCCCCCCTTCGTCACGAAGGCAGCCACCACCCGGGCCACCACCCTAGAGACACCCACCACTTCCATCCTCGAAACCAGCACACCAACAGAAGTGGTCACGTCACGGCTTGTCCCCACCAGCACAGCCAAGCCCAGGTCCCTGCCAAAACCAAGCACCTCCAGGACTGCAGACCTCACAGAAAAAAGCACTGCCTTGCCATCCAGTCCTTCCACGCTGCCACCCACAGAAGCCCCCCAGGTAGGAGGCAGGAGCCCTTCTCACCTGCTAAAGGGCTCGTGGGCCATGTTTGAAGCCAAGTGATGCTGATGGGAAACCTTCAGGGTTGTTACACCCTTACCTGGTTGCTCTGAGGGAGCTCAAGCCAGGTTGGCCTCTTCCCAGCTCTGTGGAGAGTGGAACATTTGAGGAGAAGGCGAGGGGAGGTTGTAGGGTGGGGGGTTTAGCACACGTAGAGCATGGTGATGGGACTGGCCCAAGAGCTGATGGGGGACACCCAGGGGTATGCCACATGTCCCCAGTGCCCCTCGCTCTGCCTTCCCAGTTGCCCCAGAGCAGCTTCCCCAGGCAGGAGGGGAGCAGGGCTTGGGGTACCACTGCCCTGTGGAGCGGCTTTCATCTGGGTTTGGTGTCTGGGCTCATTGTACCATTTCCCAATTTGCAACCCATCAGTGGGAGGCCCAAATGCTCTGCAATTATGGCTTGACAGTGCATTTCCAGCCCGTGGGGTGTCCTGAGCAGGGGATTTAATCTGCTGATCCATCTCTCATTCAGAGCCCCTCAGGGGCCCTTTGGAAACCGCTTTGACTGAAAGGTGGAATGATTTGTCTAAACTAGTCCCTCTTTTTTGTGTACATATATATATGTATAGAGCTCTGGGCTCTTGCTGGCCTTCAATTAATCTCTGTCACAAAAACGCCTGCTTGTGGGAAGCAGTGAGCCATGTGCTCGTGCCCGGGGGCAGCGTGACATGGAGAGGGCTCCTACTCACCCACCCTGGCTTCAGCCCATCGAGCTCTTTGCTCATCCCAATTTGTTACGTCCCGAGGCAGCTGTGGAGGGAGCCGTCTGCCCCGTGAAAGAGGGATCCCAGGGAGGTTTTGCCTGGGGATGCTCAGTGCAGTCCAACTCAGCACGTGGACATGTAGCAGGTCAGGCTGCTGGGATGAGAGGGGAGGTCAGGGGGGTTTTGGCCCTGAGGGAGCTGCAGGTGTGGGGATGCACAAGAGGCAATGGTCAGGGTTGGGCTGGAGGGAGATGGAGTGGCTCATTTGCTCTCCAGGCTGGGTTCGCCTCCTTGCCAATGGGGCTTGGTCAGGGACCACGGCAGGGAGCTGGGCTGGCTTCGTGTCCTGGGTGAGAAGGACCCATCTTCCTGCTCCTGCCCTGTGCTGCAGGGCTGCAATCGTAAGAGCGGGTTGAAGGGAGAAAAGGGAGAGGAAGGGACCCCCTGGGGCTCATCCGATCCTTACACTTGCTATGGCACAAACAGTTGCGTCACTTCATGTCTAGCATGGAGGCATCTGTGGGATGTTTCAGGCAGCCATCGGTCTGTACTGGGGACAGAACCCAAAGGAGGGTCTGGGATGTGGGGGCTCTCTTCGGGGGAAGCTACAGGGAACAGGTGAGAGTTTGTGCATCTTGAGGGCACCTGGGATGGGGACAGACAAGAATGGTCCAGCTCAGCCATGGTGGCCTCAGCCTTTTGGTGACCATTAAGATGTGGGGTTGTGTTGCTTGCTGCAATATAACTGTCCACATCAGTGGAACAGGGAAGGGGCACCCCAAAGTTGTCCCCCCATGTTCCCTGCTGAGAGGGCCACCCTGTCGTCGGTACTGTTCCTCTGGACACATCAGAGCTGCTGGAGGCAGGAACCACCCTTTGGTCCTTGTCCCCTGCTCCATCTTGTCCTTTCTCCCAGATGGAGCCAGGGGAGGTGACGACAGTCCTCGACAACGAGCTGGAGGTCCCGGTCAGCAGCGGCCCCAGTGGGGACTTTGAGATCCGGGAGGAGGAAGAGACGACTCGTCCCGAGCTCAGTAACGAGGTGATGGCTGTGGTGACACCGCCATCGGGACCTGGGCTGGGCAAGAACGCGGAGCCGGGACTGATCGACAACACGATAGACTCTGGTAACTCAGCCGCTCAGCTCCCCCAGAAAAACATCCTGGAGAGGAAAGAAGTGTTGATAGGTGAGACCGGAGACTGTGGGCTTGTGAGGGGAGAGTTGGTGTGTCGGGGGCGGGGGGGGAGACAGACAGGCTGTCCATGCCCCAGGAGAGGGGTTGGTCTTTGGCAGGGCACTGGGGTTGTGTCGAGCCTGGGATAATCCACACTCACCTGCTGAAATAGCTCCAGAGCCTGCGCTGGGGGGTTCCCAGGGGTCTTCATGTCTTTCCTAGGAGAGTTCAGAGCTGTGCACAGTTTGCTTTTGCTAAGATGGGTTTCCAGGAAAAAAAATAGGATGTTAGTGGAAAGACATGCTACAGTGCTGGCTGAATATCACCTGGCCACCTCTGCAGGGCAGGAGAGAGGTGCCCTGGGAGGGCCACTTGTCCCAGCCAGAGGGACATCAGAAACGGGGCAGAGGTGTCAGTGTCCCACCGCCAGCTAAAGGGAGCTGGAGGTGATGGCACAGCAAAGCAGCTGTTGCTTTGGTGATCTTCAGCTGATTGTGGCGGATGCCAGCAGGCACCCAAATGAGCAGCTCTCTGGGGGATTTTCTGCATCCTCCTTGCATGAGATTACAGCCTATGCAGGGATTTCTCTGTGCCTGAGCTGCCTCTTGATGGTCCATCACCCACCGGTCAGCTGTAGACTAGATGCCTTTGGGTCTTACCCACCCTTCAGCATCTCTGCACATGGGAGCTTGTTGAAGCTCCTCGAATCACCCGACTGCATTAGCCCCTCACCTTCACTTCCAGTTTTCTTAACTGTAGATTTTGGGAGAAAAATTGCTCGCAAACTTGCAAAGCACAAAACCGAGCTGGAATCCAAAATGATCCCCCCAAAAATTCCTTGTGCTGAAAGCCAGGCTGGGGCTGCGGGGCGGCACTGACAGCCGTGCTACTTCTCTGTGTTGCAGCGGTGATCGTCGGTGGCGTGGTGGGAGCCCTCTTCGCTGCCTTCCTGGTCATGCTGCTCATCTACCGGATGAAGAAGAAGGACGAGGGCAGTTACACGCTGGAGGAGCCCAAGCAAGCCAATGTGACATACCAGAAGCCCGACAAGCAGGAGGAGTTTTACGCATAGAAGGAGAGCCTGGCGTGCCTCATGCTCCCTCCCTCCCCGCTCCAAACTCTCCCTCCTCCTCTACTTCATCCAGTCTCTCTCTCCCTCTCTCTCTCTCTCTCTCTCTCTCTTTCTCTCTCTTTTTTGGATCAGACTGTGAATTTAAAAAGCAAAACCCGCAACAGCTGAAGGAGAAAACACATCTTCGGCATGATGAAAAATCAAGTGCCCAGAGCATCACCAAGTTCAGACCGAGTACCGCTGGCCTTTCTGCAGCGGGAGGGATGGGCCCAAGAGCCAACGCCAAGGACCCTGTGCTCAGGGAGCACCCTGGCGAGCGTGGGACAGGGAGGTCAGGCTGCCAGCAGCAGCTGGAGGTCACTGGGCTTTTCCCACCAACACAACGGACTCTGGGATCCAGACACCTTCTACCGGCCCTGGGGCGCAGGGGGGTTGGTTTGGATTTAATCTTTCTTTTTTTATTATTATTTTTTTTTTTCCCCTATGGAAAGAGGGAGGTTTCTTTCCCTCTCTCATTTTTATTTTTTATTTTCTTTTTGAATGGGGTTGCTTGCTTTGCAGGAATTACCTTGCTCCCTGCTTCTGTTTGAAGAGAGGACGCAACTCTCAAATACGCTTCGAACCTTGAAAAAAGCACAAGGGGCTGGAATACCTGGTGCCCCGGGGTTTGCTCTTGGAGTGGGGAAAAAACAAACAAACAAACAAACATGGCCAGTATGCTGGAAATAATCTCTTCAGATCAACTCTTCAGAGAGTTTGTGGAGCAGCAAAAAGCTGCACTGGGGTATCTCATCCTGCTCCCCTCCTGCCACCACCTCACTTCACCGCATCGCTGTGCACAGCCAGAGACCTTAAATCTATAGAACCCATGTGTCGCCAGCCGCTGAGGGGTTCGGCTGAGAAGGGACCTTGCTTTTGCTGGGTTTTCACTGTGAGCAATAAAACTCAGCTTGCGCAGTACGACTGACAGCACTGGTTTTAAAACGGAGCGGGACGTTGCTTGGTGGGGAGTTGGCAGGGAGAGGAGTTGGAAATGGAGAAGATAAATCATCTCCCCAGTTCCTCCGGAGGGGATAGCAGAGCTCTACAAGGTGTGAGATGCAGCATAAGAGAAGAAATGCAAAGCAGAGGCAATGCTCTGTCCCCTCAGGGGTCGGGGAGGGGTCCCCATGGGGCCAGATTGGCTTTCCACCAGTCATCCCCAGGACAAATTGGCTGCTACCTATCTTTTGCAAGACCCTGGATTGATGGTTTGCGTTTGTTTCTTTTGTTGTTGCTTAAATTTCAGTATAACCCCCCCAGGCACCCAGGAGCCTGAGAGCAATAGCTCCTGGAAGCCATCATCACCCAAGGGCAGTGGTTTCCCCTCTAAGGCTACCTAAAGTGCAGAGCAGTGGGGCCTGATCCAGAGCCCAACTGTGCCTTCTAGAAAGGCTAGATTTTTTTTGGCGCGAGCTCTCTGCACAGAAAAGTCAATTAGATATTTCAATGAGTTGGCTTTTAATTAGCTGAAGCGCTGTTTGCAACGCAGTCAATGAGCTTTGGTTTTATGATGGTTGAGATCTCAATGGTGTTCCATGGACACCTTGGCTTTGCTCTTAGAGCAATTTAAACAGGAAAATGGAAAAAAAAAAAAAAAAAAAAAAGGTTACTTTGACTTGGTTGCATCATGAATTAACCTGCACAGATACAGTGACACTTTGTCCCCTCAGGGTGTTAGTGGATATAGGGATTTATGACCCTGGTGGAGGCTACAAGACAGCAGTGCTTCTTTATGTTAGGAATTTGAGAGGCCAAATGTGTATTTTATATATATATATATATATATATATATATATATATATATATTTATATATATATATATGTGTGTGTGTGTGAAATGAAATCCCTGTAAATTTTCACTGCACTGCAGATGATGGCTGGATGGGACTTTGTGGTTGTGAAGATGGGAGGTTTGGGCTACACTCCCTTGGGGTGCGCAGTGCAGGGACTGCGACCCAAAATGCCAACCTGCTTTTACTTCAGGGTAGGGAGCAGAGCCCCTGTGCCCCAAAATCCCAATTTTAGAGATGTCAGCCTCAAAGATCATCCTTGTTTTGGTTCTTTTGCTTGGAGAAGATAGTCCTGTTGAATGTCTTGGATGATGATGCTGAAAGGCAGACAGTGTAGTGTGTGTGTATGTACCCAGTTCTTGGGTCCATCCCTGCTCTGGAGGATGAGGATGCTTTGAAGGGGGGACCACATGTCCGAAGAAGGCTGGTGCCAACCTGGCTCTAAGAGCCACTTTCTCTGACCTGCTCAAAGGGGAGTTTCAACTCATGGGTTTTATGGTTTGGGGTTTTTTTGGTCCTGTTGAAACTACACAAAGGCCCTAGCTGTTGGGGAGTGGCAGAAATCAAGCCTCTTCTTCATGATTTAATGAGTTAGGCACCACAAGTATCAAGGCCACCCAAAATCACCATCTTTTGGAAAAACACGGACCTAATCTTTTGAGTTTGCATTAAAAAAAACCCTCCCAACTTAATCTTTTTAAATTCTGCTTTTCTTAGCTGCTTCCCTAATCTTCTTCATTCCATTTTTTTTCCCATTTAATAGCCTGAAGTTCTATAATACAATTTTTTTATTCACTCAAGCTTAACCTCAGTTCGCTCAGCTGGTGTTAAGTTGTAATCCCGGCACTTAAATCTGTTACAGTTTCAGAAGTAAGGAAGGCTGGAAGTGGGAGGGTGAGAGGAGGCTGGGCAGCACTTTCTCTTGCAGTAATTAAAATTACAAGATGATCACATGCAAAAAAAAAGGTGAAGGCAATTAAACTAATAATCAGAATTGACCAAAGTCTTGATTCATTGTAAATCTGCTGCTTCCACATGTTTGCTGTATTGTGCTCTGCTTGGAGAGGGGATGTGAGCTCAAGGAGACTGTCTTTTGGGCTTGGAGCCTACCCTCTTCTTGTGCTAAATCATGACAGAGCCTTTCCTGTCACCTCAGCTCCCCAGGAGCACCAGGTTAGTTGTTGGAGTTGATGCTTGGAAGAAAAGCCGCCTTGTCTTGCTGGGGGATGGCTGAGCTTGTGCCTCCCTTGTAGGGTACGGGATGGTGGGATGGAGCTGAAGGTGGGATGTGCTTTTTTGGGAAAGCCCAGTTCCCCCCAAAACTGCAAATACCACCAGCTCTCTATTACCAGAGCAGTGGGGATGGGTAAAACTCCAGTGAAACTCTGATGAAAGATGCTGCCAGGGTCCGTATGGGGGTTGTGGTGGCGGTGGGCTGCAGCGTGGCCATCGCTGAGGTTGTGCCTGGCCCCACGGGAATGCAGGGCCTGCTGCTCCCTCCCACAGGCGCTTTGCACGGGCATGCGAGTCTCACCGCGCTCTGGGGCCTTTGAGGGATTCCTGGTGAGAAGACGGATGGGGAAGAGTTGACATAGCACAGGGGGGAGGAATGAAAGCATCTTTTCTCAGCTGTTGATTTGGCCACAGAGCAAGTTTTTAGGAAAATTAACTCCTCCCGCATCATCCCCTCCCAAAGCCTGACAGATTTGACATCATCCCCCTCTCCATAAATTCAGCTCCTTCCACAGCCTGTGCGTATCCCTTGTAGTGATATCATCCATGAATGGCTGCAGTCTCCCAGCTGGGGCAGTGCCCAGATGTGCTCATCCTTCCAGCTGTTCAGCCCTTTCCCACTTCTTTTCTGCATGCTTGTGTGTGTGTGATACACCGGAGCTGATGGAAGACTCTTTGCTATGCTAGTTTTGTAATTTTAGAAGAGCTGAAATTGCAAGGTGTGGAAGATGGCATCGGCTCCTCTCCCAGCTGTGTTGCTTTTCAGTCTCTCTCAGTGCTGTGATCTGGAGGAAAATGATAAAGTAATCAGTGACTCCTGGGCCACATAAACAAGGAAGAGGCAGGAGTGGGTCCCAGGGAAGGAAGGACCAGAAAACGTGCGTGAGGGCCCAAAATGAGGGGCTGGAAGCAGGAGGATGGGAAGGGCAAGGGATGGAGGTGGCTCTGGCAGGACGTAGCCTCAGGCAGGTTTTGTAGGGTTGGGAGTGAGCTGCCACTTTCCTCCAAAAATCTCATTGATTTTGGACCTTTCAAAAATAAGCAGCAGGATCCTGTGCCGGGGGGGATCCCACTGCAGGGAAGGTGATGGTGCTGGGCTGGATGTGTGCTGTGGCGTGGTGGTTTGGCTCTAAATTTCCCATTCCCTCCCAGTTTTGCCTGGTGGGTGCCTAAGATCCCTGGGAGGGAGCTGCTTTGCTCCATGGAAGCCTTGACCCCTGCTCCCCAGACTCATAATTCAGAGCTATCCAACCCCTGCCATGAGTCACCAGCACAGAGGCTTTAATAGGAACAAAACCATTAGCTTAAAACAAGAATGGATTTTTTAAATTATTTTTTGCCCGTTCCAACCACCCATTTTATGATTATAAGCATTTCTGGGCTTGGAGGTTTTCTCTGAGGCTCCTTAAGTGACATTGAGTTTTCAACACTAAAAGGTTTATTAGAATAACTGGCATCTCACCGGGCGGCTCGCCAGCTGCTCGGCCGGGCTGGAGCCTGCGGCGCCAGGGATGGGTGTGTCGTGCGTGTATGTATGTATATATATGTGTATGTAATTAATATATATGTATATATGTATATACGTGTGTGAGCAAAGCGCACACGCGTGCACAGGTTCAGTGTAAACTCTGCACCTAATGAAGAGGGGGGGGGGGTTTATCAGCCAGCATCGTGTGCTGGGCTCTGCACCCTTCAGGCCCTGAGCTCTGCCGTGGGCTGCAGGATTTGGCCCCGCGCTGCCGGCTCCCTCCTGCCCTCCCGCTCCTGGCATAGCAAGGGCCTGATCCTGGCCGCCTCGGCGCTGGGCCGGGTCTGCCAGGGTTGGGGATAAGGAGCCTTTTGCCGACGGCCACATTCCCAGCTGGAGCAGAGCCCGGGATTCTGGCCAGGCAGCCAAAGCCCCGCCGAGGCTCCGTGTTTGCTCTGGTTTGTCCCACGTACCTTGTGCCTGCAGCTCCGCAGACACAGCCACACCCGGCCTCTATAGAGAAGTCAGTCTGGAGTGTACAAACTCTTTTTCCTTTTTTTTTTTTTTTTTTAATTTTTTTTTTTTTAACTATTATTTTTGGGGAAAAAAAGTCACCCTAGGAGACACCCATGTGATGCCCAGGTGTTTTGTTTTTCAACCCACGTTCCAGACAGCTCATCCACCGCATCTCCAAAGACCTCAAGGGTACCAGTGACTTTATGTGCATAAACTACCCCTGTTCTGGGTCCCCCTGGTCTAAGTCATAAAAGTACAGCTGACAATCAAACCTGACAGAACTGCTGACTTCAGAAAAATATATATCCATTGCAGTTTGATAGAACTACTTTTTAAAATCACATGCTTATCTCTCACTAACACTCATCACCATGTCTCCAGGATAAATTGCCACCCATTGGTTCTTCTGTAAATAAACATAAAACATTCTTGTATAAATTAAAGAAAAAAAAAAAAGAAAAACAAACAAAAAAACTTCATTGATATACGTCCAAAAAATATCCCTTTCCAGAAGATTTAAATAATTCAAAGAAAAAGAAAAGCCCAACAAGTGAGCCCCACTTCACTTTTTCTTTGGAGCTGATTTAAATTCCCAATAGGAAAATGAAAAATCTTTAACAATAGAAGAAACTACAAGTGTTTTACCTTTCAGTGAATATGGGAGGGAAAAAAAATGCATGTAAATATTTTTAATAGGAAACATATCTTAAACAGAACTTTTTTTTGTATGTACATAACTCTTCTAGAGTTTAGTACTTAAATTGCTTCATAGTGTCTGTTAAAAAAACACAAATAAAATAAAATAAAATGTTTGTTAATTGTTTTTGTTCTTACTCAATGGCCAAAACTTTAAAAATAATAAAAAAGACTATAAAAATAATCTTTGCCAATGGATCTAGCACTGTAATGGTACTGTCTATTTTTTTTAATTATTTCTGTGCTGTGCCCATTTATAAAAGGAGAAAAAAAAAAATAAAGTCATTTAAACATTGTCTGCCCAGGGCTTCGCCTGCTTTTTGCTGCGGACTGCCTGTCCCCGGGTTTTTGTGCCGGTGTGTGATGAAGGTGAAGGGAGAAGATGTTACTTAATCTCAGGGCTCGATACCATCAGGCGAGGGCTGGTGGTTAATTAATGGTTTCCATGGCAACTCTGCAGAGATGCTGAGGAGCCGGCAGCGGTGTGGACCACCCCCAGCGCAGCCCAATTGCTCCTGTGCTGGACCAGAGGGGAGATTTGGAGGTGGCAGCGGGCGGGGGGGGGGGGGTGCTGCAGGTGTGTCTAACAGCACGGAGAGCCACGGAGCATTTCGGCTGAGCCGCTGCGTCCCCACACCCCGCGAGGGTCACCAGCGAGCTGGGGAAGATGCCGAAGCCGTAGGAGCCCTCCCGGCGCCGGGCGGGAGGTGGGAGCAGCCTGGGCTGTTGGCCCGGGGGTCCCGCTCTCGCGGCTCTCCTTTCCAAAGCGATTCCTGGAAGCGAACGTGGTGAGAGGTTTGGCAGCGATGCTGCTGGCCTCCGCCAGCAGACGCTTGGATGTATTCACCCGGCTCCTGCGCTGCAGAGCCCAAACCTCCGCGGACGCATCCCGACTCGCAGCAGAAGGCAGGGTTTGCACGGCCCCGTGCTGCCTCGAGTGAGCCGTGGCCAAGGGCAAACGCCAAGCCCCGGGAGGTTCCAGCAGCATTTCCCCAGCCCCACGGGCTGGACGTGCTCCACGTTGCGTGCCAGCAAATCTGCACCCAGCCCTAGTGATGTCGGACCGCTGGCATGAATTTCAGGGAACATGACTTGCCTTGGATTTGGGGCATGTTTTTTGAAGTGTTGCTGGTTTTTATTACCAGTTTGGACCCTGCTTCTGTTATAAATCTCTGGCTGAAGTTTTTCACGCTCCATCTCTAAGTGCTTCATCCACTAAAAAATGGTTAAACTGCTGCTCCATATAACCCAACACCCAGCCCTTAGCAAGGGTCACAGTCTGCTACGCTGGACAAACCCTGTCCTTCCTCTGAGGCCAGGCAGCTCAGAAGTACCTTGCTGGGTAGTGGTAGCAGATGGAGCCCCAAAACATCTCCCTTTTTATCCCAACCGCCGGCTCTCAGGTCTGGGCACGTCCCGATTGCCCCCAGCCCCTGTGCTCCCCCAGGACGGCTCCCCACAGCAGCTCTCCCTGCCTACAGAAGCATCTCAGTTTTACCAGGGCCACCCATTCAGGTTTTCAAGTTTGTCCCAGCCCCAGCAATAATGATTTCACTGTGCTGGCGGTCAGACTACCCGTACGCTTGGCAGCAGCCACAGCCAGCTGCCGTTACAAGTGAAGTGAATAACTGCTTGCAGTGAGGTGTTGGTATTCAGGCTGAAGGCTTGAAACAGCCTCTAATTATATCCCCATCCCCATTTCTTGTATATTTTTCTTTCCCCCAATGGCTGTTATGGGAATGTTCCCTTCCCACAGCACCATTGCAGACCCCCAGGAGTTGGTAGGATAACCCCAAATAGTCCAAGTGGGGTTTTTTCGCAGTAAAAGGGGCTCCCTGTGACTCACGCATTATAAATCTCTGTGACATGAGCAGAGCGTCCAAAAATAACACTGTAATTGAGATTTCACCTTGCAAATTAACAGGCCAAAGGCACTAACGTCCCCTTGGTTCAAAGGGCTTTTAAGCAATTGCACGAGAACAGCCATGACACACACCTGAGTGCTGAGCAACTCCTGCAGATACAGCTGGGAAGGATCTTCAGATACCAACCTTGAGCTGAAAAGAGCATGGAGGGAAACAAGATCGTCACCCCTGTCCTGGGTAAACTGTTCCCAAAGCCTTTAAGGCCAACAGTTGGAACAACAATTGTGCCTATGCCCTAAAAAGCTGCATTGCAAAACATGCCCACTTTAGGGGTCAAACTAGGACTCCAGCTTAACCTAAGATTGGGGAGGGGATATCCAGGCTTATACGCAATGCCACTGCTCCTTGAAATCAGGATATGAGGGAATAACCCTAAAGCAATAGCAACCACCACCTGAGCTGAACTACATTTCCTTCTAATCAGCTTTAGATTTCTAAAAAGACTGAAATTACTTGTATTAGTACTAATGGGTTTCAGATGGAGTGGGGAAAACACTCTGTTCAGCCTCCAAAAGAAAGGATTAAACAGCAGCAAACCAAAGGGTTAACAATTGGTTTGACCTTTTAGGCTCTTTGATAAAATGGGCTTTCACAATTGGCTTGGCAATCGTGAGGAATTGAAGGATCAAGGCTAATTTATCCCAGATAAATGCAATGAGTGGTTTAGAGAGGATGGAGCTGGAACAGCTCTCCATGCCTGTCCCTGTGCTCAGGGGATGCACGGTGAAGCAGAAAGGCAGCAAGGTCAAACCTGATGCCAAGGTGCACGGGTTGCAGGTCTCAGCCTTGAGGTCTCATCAAGGCTTCACAGAGAAGAGCAGGTACAGGTGAGAAGCCAAATCAGGAGCTCAGGAATGAACAAGCTGTTCAGAAATAGAAGTTCGAAATATACTTGTATGCAATAAACATCTTAAAAACCTGGCTGAGCCATCTGGAAGCATCAGTATCCATTGAAAACCTGTGAAAGAACCTCCAAAAAGTGGGAAAAGAAGAACCAGGGTGATTTAAACTTCTTAGTTTACTTTATAAACTAGAAAATATTGGATGAAATAGTCACAATAGTAAGCACCCTGAAGATGACAAGGACATCAGTCTTGATGGACTTGTCAAGAACTGATGTGTCAAATCAATCTAATGGCCTTTTGCGACCAGGAACCTTGCTCTGTGCACAGACAAGGACCTGTCTGTGTCAAACATGGTCAGGGCAGTGAAGTTTTGTCACTGTCTCACAGGGGACCCTCATCTACATGTAGTTATTGTAGGAAGGGTGAAAAACCTGTTTGTAAGGTACCTGGGGAGTGGTTATTAGCAGTTCACTGTCAAAATGGACAGATGGATTGAGTGGGCATCCAGACAGGGTCTCTCCTGGGGCAGGTTTATTCAATATTTTCATTAACAGTTGAATGATGCCATAACATGGATGATTATTAAATCTGCAGACAATACCTTGCTGGAAGGGACAGTGAGTACATCAGAGGACAGGGCTAGAATTCCAAATGATCTTAATAAATTGGAAAGGTATCATTAAAAAAAAAAAAAAAAATCATGTCTATGATCAGTGGAGAGGTCAGTACCACCAGAGGATAATTCACCACGGTCTATCCATGTATCTAACACAGAAACCTCAAGAAAGCAATTTTTCCTGCTTATTTCTTTGCTGAACATAGCAGGGGCCGAGAGATTTTCTTCAAAGCATTTAATGCATGCTAAAATTTGGGAGATAGCATTGATTGAGATGCAAATGAAGGTACTGTGCTTCTCTCTGATACAAAGCCAGCAAAATCACAGCAGACCACCATAGTGTGGCTCCACATGCCATGTCCATGCCAAGGCAGGACCTGCAGATGAGTGCTGTCCTCCATGAACCACCAGCCCAGAGATGTCCCAGCTGTCCTTGCCCATGACCCCAGGATGTGTCTGCTTCAAGGACATTGCTGTTATCCAGCTCAGGGAGACCCCCATTTGGCATCCACCACCCAAAGCTGCCCCACTGATGGTTCTTGTTTTCTGATGTGCCTCAAGCCTGAAAATAAGTTCAAGGTTCCTGAGGACCCCTCACCAGGACACCAAGTCATTGGGCCATCTTGCTTTCTTACATGGATATAGCCAAGGCAACAGTGGTACAGAGGGGATATTTTTTACAGCCACAACAGATACATTACCATATCTGAATCATGGCACACCTGCATAAACTCTCATGCTGGTTCAGCTGGATTCGGCTTTTTGTTGCCCGTGCCTGCCGTGGAGATGTGCTTCTCTAAGGCAGCATTTCAAAGGCATGATGGAGTCAGACACCAGGTTCCAGGGACATTGGCAGCACAGGATGTCATGTATGAATGCCCTGGCAGACCCCAGAGCCTGAGAAGGCCCCCCTGGTTGCCCAAATTCTATAGGATATTTGGGTGCAATGGAAGGGTGTTGCCAGGGGCTTGCATGCTGGATGGGGACCTCCTACATGGGCCGTTGGGGCATGCTGGAAGGGAAGCAGGGCAAGGAAGGATATGTACTGCTGCCTGGGATTTGTCAAGGCCATAAATCCACCTAAACATCCAGGTAGTGAAGAATGAGGTCAGGCTCAAATGCTTCCATGGTTTTACCCCCGCTCCCAGACTTCAGATCGCACCACTCCAGCGCCGGCTGCATTTCAGCCGTGATAGAGCCACCCCCTGTTAGTCCTCAGAGGGTTACAAATCCTTTCTGAGCTTTTCTGCATACTCCAAATAAACAGTATTTACCAACTGCTACTGACTAATGCTGACTTACTGCTCCCAGGGCAGCTTTGCTGAAGGCATCCCTCATCCCAGACAGCAGGGAGCTACTGCTTGGCTCCCACCTCGGTACACAGACATGGTGGGTCATCTCCCGCCTCCCTCTCCCCCAGCTCCCTGGTAGGCCTGATTCTGTATGCACAAAGTCCTATTTCTGAGTCCTCTGCATTGCTGTAAGTAAATAACCCCCACATCCTCGTTCCTACTTTTTCCCAGTTCTTCTGAGGTCCCTCCAGCCCAGCTCACCTCTGGGGCTCAACAAATCCCCCTCACCCAAGTGTTGTCCCTGTGTTTCCCCCCACCTTTTGTAGCTCCTGGACTCTTTCCCCTGCTTTCCAAGGACAGGAAGTCCTTAAAAAAAAAAAATGAAATCCCAGTAGAGAACAGCCGGATAAAACTCCTTGTCCTGGTCTGCAAGACAGGACTGCCTGATGGGAGTGATGGATATCTGGGCACAGCGGACGCCAGTGGCTCCAGAATGCCGCCTTGGAGTATTTTTGGTCTATTGTACAGGATTTGAGGCAAAGAGCAGCCTATTCCTGTTCTGAGTGACAACATTTCCTGAGCATCAGCAGATATTAATAGTAGCTAATACAGCAGTC